AAGGGAAGTTGTTTAGAAAATTTTCTTCTGTTAGTTGCAAAAAAAATTATTTATTATTCAAGATCACAAGGTTTTACGCCAATATTTATTGATGCTGTAAGGTTATTTAAATATTACAGAAACATAGAAAATTATTGTGAAAAAATATTTCAATGTAAGGACAAAATAATTAGTAAATGGGCCCTGTATGATAATGTATACAACAAGTGATGAAAATGTTTTTGTTTTGTTTTGTTTTTGTTTTTTTTTTTTTTTTTTGTTTTGTTTTGTTTTGTTTTTTTTGTTTGTTTGTTTGTGTTTTTTTTTTTGTTGTTGTTGTTTTGTTTTTGTTTTTTTGTTTTTTTTGTTTTTTTTTTTTTGGTTTTTTTATTTTGTTTTTTTGTTTGTTTTTTTTTTTTTGTTTTTTTTGGTTTTTTTTTTTTTTGGTTTTTATATCTTCTCCCTTTGGTATATCCTTTTTTTTTTTTTTTTTTTTTTTTTTTTTTTTTTTTTTTGATAAATTGCATGATTAACTGTCATATGTCTACATTTGTGTATAGTATTTTATTTTAGAAAGTGCACTGTCCGAGTGTGTGTAAGTGTGATGGTAAGTGGGTGTAAATTGTGTGGTATGTGTTTGTATTTATACATATGAAAAAAGGCTTCAAAATAAAGCATTAAAAAAAAGAGAGCCATAGCTCCAACCAATCAAAAGTTATGGGCAATGTTAAAGATTTTGCGGACAAACAGAAACCTAGACAGACAGACTGACGGATATGAAGAAAAAAAACTATATATCTTCGATTACTGGGGCATAAAAATGCACTTTTACTAAATGTTCAAATGAGTCCTCCTCCCATAACAGAACCCCTGACTTTTTGGACCTCAAATTTAACAAATTTGGAAACGGCATCCTTGCTCAGCATAGCCATGAACCTAGTTTATCTGCTAATTATACAGGGCGAGAGAAGATTTCAAAGAAGTAATGCATATTCACTACTAGTATAATTTATGACCATCATGATCATTCCAGTCCCACCCAAACTCCAGATCCCCTGATACTGGGGTCAAGAATTTAAAACTTTGGAAGGGGCTCAATTCTTATTACAATCATGCCAACAGTTTGCTTGCTTGATGTCCACGAGTAAAAATTTTTAAAGACAGCACAAATTATTTTGATGGTTTTAGCCCCTTTCCTCGGGATCCAGGGGGAGAAGGGACGATGATAATTAACAAAAGTTGTACTTCTTCAACCATTAATTCTATATGCGTAAATTGATTAAAAGAACTATATACGGTAAGGGCGTTTTCCTGCCCCCATAATAATCAAATTTTGAAAATCTCTCGAAATGAGCAAAAGTGCATATATTGTATAAAATAATCCAAATTAAGACAATATATTATGAAATTGGAAAAACTAGTTGGCTTTTCTTGTCTCTGTGACGTCACAAAGTATTTGGATTTCCGTTATTTTTAAAATAGAGGCCAAAATGCACAGAGTTTGTTCAATTTTGACTATAGTATTTATAGAGCGCAAGCTTGCTCAGGTACCATATTCACATATTTCATTGATATTATCATTCTACACATTATATCAAAAGATTTAGCCTGAGCAGACCTGCGCTCGATAATTTCCAATCAAAATACCGACGTAAAATACACTATTTTCTCTCAAAATCATTGCAATTTGGAATTTACGTCATTTTATTGACGTCATATCTAACTAATGATGTCATAGTTGATAAAAATATTTAATGCTTTGAAGTCTGCAAATATCCACCTGGTTTAGAACATAATTAAAGATTTCTCCATCAAAGTTTTATTTTGGGGGCAGATACTGGCCACTACAGAATATAGTCCTTTCTTAAGAGAAGAAAAACGAATGAAAGATGATGACCAACAAAAACAAAATAGCAATAGGTCATCTGATTGACTTAGGTGACCTAAAAATGGGGCAAAATGGTTAAATTATGTATCATGATCATGGATAATCAAAGTCATTGTCTAAATATTGTATTCAAACATTAAATTATAAAATAATAAGAACATTTCACAATTAAGACTACAGTGTTACAAGGAACGCGGGGACAGCCTGCTTTTTAATCTCACTAAAGATGTAAATAAAGAGTGGTCAGTTATTAATTTACTACGAGCATAATAGTTCATGGATTTGAAAGAAAAACAAGAGGTCAATGGGCCACAACGCTCACCTGAGTAACTTTGGCCCTGCTTTTCTTCACCAGATGTCCCCCTTGTAATACGTATTGTGGCCCCATCCTACCCCGGGGTCATAATTTGAACAATTTAGAATCTACACTACACCAGGATGCTTCCATATAAGTTTCAGCTTTTCTGGGCCAGTGGTTCTTGAGAGGAAGATTGTTTAAGATTGTTCCTATGTATTTCAATGTAAAACTTGGATTCCCAATTGTGGTCTCACCCTATCCCTGGGGGTCATGATTTGTACAATTTAGAATATACACTACAAAAGGATGCTTCCATAAAATTTTCACCTTTTCTGGCCTAGTGATTATTGAGAAGATTTTTAAAGATTATTCTTATATATTGCAATGTAAAACATGGATTCCCAATTGTGGCCCCCACCCTACTCCAGGGGGACATGATTTGAACAATTTAGTATCTACACTACCCCAGGATGCTTCCATAAAATTTTCAGCTTTTCTGGCCCAGTGGTTCTCGAGAAGAAGAGATTTTTTTTTAAAAATTCCTATATATTTCAATGTAAAACTTGGATTCCCCATTGTAGCTACACTCTATCCCCGGGGGTTATGATTTGAACAATTTAGAATCTACTCTACCCCAGAATGCTTCCATAAAACTTTCAGCTTTTCTAGCCCAGTGGTTCTCAAGAAGAAGATTTTTAAAAGATTTTTCCTATAGATTGCTACGTCAAACTTGGATTCCCCATTGTGGCCCCATACAAGTGAGTTTGTAGAGAACTGAACAAAGGTTAGCGATCTATAATGACGTTCACACTACTGAACTGGGCACGCTTTCAGGAGCTATTCAATAAACAACTTGCCTTGAAAATGGTTACAGGAATTTAAATACGCAACCGACAATCAAATTAATGGTACTCTTTATACCCTAATGATGTACATGTACATGTGGACACGTTCTTTCAACAACAACAACAAAACAATCAAACAAACAAACAAAAACAAAACAAAACAAATCAAAACCAAAAAAAATGTGCATGGGTTGGGAACGGCCATGCATAAAATGAAAATTTCCATCTAAATTTAAATGAAACTACATGTAGTTTTTCTCGGAATAAAAGGGGATAGTCCATTTCCTCCTCCTTGATACTTTGTGTCTGTAATTTTTTGTGACTTTATCATGTTTATCAATGTTTATGACAAAGCACGATTTGTGCTTTACAAACACTGTATATAAGGAGTATGACTACTGACAATGCAAAGTTGTAGTAAGAATCGAATATAAAAGAAATTAGCTTTAGAAACTAGAAAAATAAATTAGAAAATTGCATTGTTATTTAACCCAACTTTTCTTTCCATTTCGTTCTAAATTCATTTACAGTGGAGGGGTTGTGAAAAAGAATCGCTCCGTCAGATAGATGGAGGTCAAATAAATTACCACAAATACGAAAAGAGGTTATTGTAACGTACAATGTCATTCAACTTTTTCACGCTTGTTTTTAAAGACAGTTTATTTCGTTCTTTTCTATACAACTTGTTTTACAATTTTTATAAGTTCTGTTCATCTTTGAATCTTCTAATAAATCCTTATACAGAACGTCTTTTTTTATGTAAGTTCTTTTTATGCGACAACACGTGTTCTCTGTTCGCGGCGTTTTAATCCGTTGTCGATGACCGATCACTCGCCGCCAGGAAAATTCGGCTCAATAAGACTTTATGTTACTTTACGCTCATACTCACAGACTTCTCACCCTTTAAATAATTCAACATCCCTCGATAACACCCCGACCCTTCCAAAACAAGGAACGTCTCATCTCAGTTTGAATGCACGTAATTATTATGTAAAGGCCCTTTCACAATTGGCGCACGAGCAGACGCGACAAAATATTCGTGTGACCGAAAAAATTTGATTTGGATCGTAAACTGTTGCCGATATAATCGCATATGAAAATGTGATCGTACGAAATTCGGAAGATCTAAAGCGACCGTTGTACGATGCAAACGCATTAAATCTTGCGATATATCTTGCATCTATATGCGACTGATATACAATGAAAGCGAGTGTTGTAAGATAATGCGATAGGATCGCGCGAGTGATCAGGTGATCGGATGATTGAACGTGTGCCAATGCGATTGGACGTACGGCGCTCGTGCGATCAGGCGTTCCATGGTACGAATACTCGTTCGAGTGCGTTTAGGAAACACCCATCAGCCACGCAATTCTAAATTGAGAGAACCCGACACAGTGCTGCGATTTTTCTTATTTCTTCTAATATTGTTATGGTTTAGAATGTGCGTAATTAATTAATGACTGTATTGTTATGACAGCAACGTGTTTCGGCGGTTTGATATCGTATTGGTGTAGATATATAATATATATGGTGTATATATATAATTTTTGCATGGAAATTGAAGCTGATAAATCGTGCAATGATAGTAAAACGTTGCAAGATTACATGAGCCACGTTGAGAAACAGTTTCGTGGTCGCAAAATACACGCATGGACAGCTGCGATTCATCTTACGACCTTTAAAAATCGTGTATCACTCTTACGAGTACACAAAACGTTGTAAGACGTTCGTACTAATGTTCGTGCGCTACATTGCGATAATTTGGATCGCATTTGGTCGTGTCTGAATAGTGTGCATGTCCACTATTTTGAGGAGACTTGAAGCGACCACTAAAACGCATGCGACAAATGCGAGACATCGTGCAACATATGCGAGAGCTCGTGCAAAGCTAAAATATTCCGATCGCAAAGTGTTGTAAAGTGCTCATGCGCCAATTGAGAAAGGGCCTTAATAAATATCTACTGATATTAGACTATCGATTTTATCTCACCTGAGAAGCACATGGAAATACAAGTAATTCCGATTATAATTAGAGATCTAGAATTCATATTGTCTTTTCTTGCAATGGGTCAAAGAGGCTGTCAAATATCCTTTGGATTTTTTTTTGCCCTATTTTTTTTTTTAAACGCACACACATACACTCTCTTGAATGCCGTTGCAGGGTTTCCTAAGGGGAAAGCTAGTATTACGATGGTTAATGCCAACCTCTACAAACGTTGACCCAGAGAAGGCGGAGCTACTGTCATTATTCAAGAGAGAATGCTTCAAATAAGATATACTATTAATTAATTATTTAATTATCATGACGAATGTTTTGATGTATACGTAAAAAAAATGGTAAACCCAGATGCTCTGTGTCATGAAAAAAAAAAAACAGAATTTTTTTTTGCACTTGTGCATTTGTAGGAGCTTCTGGCCTCACCAAGAAGCGTAAAAATATCGTTTTATACTGTATGTGCTAAAATAAAATTGTTAATTGGATACTGCAGTTGAAAGAGCTTAAGTTTTCTTTTCCTGATGTTAGAAGATTTTTTTTATACCAGGAAGGCTGTCGTTTAACAGAGGAGAATTATGATGACCAACCCGATTATCCAATAATTAAACCGTAAATTAAACATTTCTTTACAGGGGACGGGTTGTGAAAAAGAATCGCTCCGTCAGATAGATGGAGGTCAAATAAATTACCACAAATACGAAAAGAGGTTAATTATTGTAACGTACAATGTCATTCAACTTTTTCACGCTTGTTTTTAAAGACAGTTTATTTCGTTCTTTTCTTATACAACTTGTTTTACAATTTTATAAGTTCTGTTCATCTTTGAATCTTCTAATAAATCCTTATACAGAACGTCTTTTTTATGTAAGTTCTTTTTATGCGTCAACACGTGTTCTCTGTTCGCGGCGTTTTAATCCGTTGTCGATGACCGATCACTCGCCGCCAGGAAAATTCGGATCAATAAGATAGGCTAGACTTTATGTTACTTTACGCTCATACTCACAGACTTCTCACCCTTTAAATAATTCAACATCCCGCGATAACACCCCCACCCTCCCAAAACAAGGAACGTCTCGTCTCAGTTTGAATGCATGTATGTAATAAATATCTACTGATACTAGACTATCGATTTTATCTCACCTGAGAAGCACATGGAAATACAAGTAATTCCGATTATAATTAGAGATCTAGAATTCATATTGTCTTTTCTTGCAATGGGTCAAAGAGGCTATCAAATATCCTTTGGATTTTTTTTTTTGCCCTATTTTTTTAAACGCACACATATACACTCTCTTGAATGCCGTCTGCAGGGTTTCCTATGGGGAAAGCTAGCATTTCGATGGTTAATGCCAACCTCTTCAAACGTTGACCCAGAGAAGGCGGAGCTACTGTCATTATTCAAGAGAGAATGCTTCAAATAAGATATACTATTAATTAATTAAACGAAATTAATTAAACGAAAATCCACGTAACTTTGGAATGTATGCTTTTTGATGATTTATTGAATTTCTTACAATTTTTTTTTAATCTTAAATAGTTTCATGCAAGACTTTGATCCCCTATTGTGGCCCCGCGTTACTCCTGGGGGCATGAGTTGAACAATTTAGAATCTTCACTACATAAGTTTCATACATGTACTTTCTGGTTTAGTTATTTTGAGAAGACTTTTCCTATATATTTCAATGTAAAAAATTGATCCCTTATTATGGCTCCAACCAACCCCTGGGTAGCATGATTTGAAAAATTCACACTCGGTCAATAATGTAATAATGTGAATTGTGATTGATCGATGTTTTAAAATAAATGTAAGTAAACTATAGTTAAAGTCCGATAAAACACACACACCCTCCTTCACTATCCCCCCCCCCCCACACACACACACACACCCTCTCACATACACCCTATCACACACACACAACGTATTTTGAATTGAATTTTTAAATTTGTTTTCGATGTATCAGATTGAGAAAATTTATGAAATTTAGTATCTTAACAAAAAAATGGAATTTCCGTTGTTACGATTAGTCATTTATTCACGATTATTTATGACTACTACAAATTAAACATCAGACGGAAACCAAGTTAAAATCTTGAGATGCCAAGAGTTACAACAGGGTGTTTCTAGTGTCGTCCTCACATTTACACTTCCTTAATTTTTACTTTCCCACTCAAAAATCTTTGAGTACTTAATTGTTTAGCTTCTTTTTATATCGTTGTCTTGACTAAATAAGTTATTTTTTGAAAGGAAAATGAAACAGGTCTAGGGCAGCATATTATGTTGATAAAAATATTGTATTTTGTTATAAAGAGAACATATAGTACAAAATGAATTTCAGAAAGAAAGTGGTACAGTGTGCTGCGTATTTCAGATCTGCTATGCGGCATATTGTATAGATTATCTGTGATTAGCCCTTGCCAAGTACAGCCATTTATTTGTTATCATTATAAGTATTATATGTATACATGTTTTGCAGAAAGAGACCTCGCGATGTAAACGTTATTTACATGTATCAATTGCAGCATCGCTTTGGACATGTGGTGTCTGATGGTACATGCTCTTGAACTTAGATTTTGCTTGCTCACTGATCATTCCAATATGCGTTGCCCGCATGACGCATTGGTTGGAGCGTTTGCTGCGGTGTCGCAGAGTAAGGAGTTGATCCTTACGCTGCAGGTTCGAATCCGTTGTGTGTGCTTAACATAAAAAGTCCCATGACGTCACAAGAATAACCTGTATAATGAAACATAGATAAACAGGAATTATCTTCTGCATATACTTATGTAATTTCAAGGAAAACATTTTCTAATTAATAATTAGAAGATATACATATAGATATACATATATATATATATATATATATATATATATATATATATATATATATATATATATATATATATATATATATATATATATATATATATATATATATATATATATATAAATTTATTTACATTTGCAAATATTTTTCTTAGATGAACCTATTGAAGAGAAAATATGTTCATTTCTGTATGAACTTATCAGGGGGTCAGAGGTCATGGTGTGACCGAATCACAGAGCGAGACAATATCTTGTCTAGCCTACATATTTCTGTCACAGTGACACTGGTTTCGGAACTTCTAAGCCGTTAAAGCGAAGAAAAAAAATAAAATTATTGAAACATATATTTTTTTTCGTTCAAAAATGATCATTAGATCTTTCTTCGGTATGAAGAATGTTTCCAATTACTATAGCCTAAAATCACGCTTACCTTTTTAACCCGAAATTCCTTTGAAGGTATGTAAACTGAAGACGATAGCACCTCTTTTGACTTCATATATAAAGAACTCATACAATAATAGTAAGATTATTCCCAGTAGCGATCACTGTTTTTTCATTATGAACAGATATTTCCTGAACTGGACTGCTGAACATCAATGTAAGTATTCAAATGTTGGAGCGAGGCGAACTCTCAAGACCAAACAGCTTCTAGGTCATTGCGCGTCACAACATAGCAATACGGCGGACCGTTCGTGTAATAAATGCAGTTCTATTCAGAATATTCGTCTCAAATGTAAATAAAAGTAATAAACAACAATGTTAAAAAGTTCACTGGGAAATGAACTTGGTTGGTACGTGATCAAATCTTCTGAGAAGCCCTTCGGGCTTCACAAAATTTGATCACGTGACCAACCAAGTTCATTTCCCAGAGAACTTTTTAAGATTGTTGTTTATTTCTTAAATATATAAACTGATATTGATTTGTCTTCTATGAAACAGTAGGACCAAGTTTCCATACTGCCTTATTCTATATTATGCACTATTAAAAAATAAAATAGAAATATGCTCAAGCACAAGGAATTGCCAAAAATAAAAAAAAAAAAGAAAAGAAAAAAAAGAACCCTTATGGTATTTATTTTAAGCATGAATATGCTTGGTATCTTACATCAGTGAAATAATTATTGATAAAAACAGCTAATCACCAGCCCTGGAAAATCTTTCTTAGAGAATAAAGATTTTTCCAAAAATATCCCTATAATCATACTTAAAATGCACTTTTGTGTTTAAATGTATTTATTCATAATGCTAAAATACTAAACACTATTTCGAATTGTGTCATTTTATTCCTTTTTACATCAAAAGTAGATCAATTCTAACTGCATAAACTACCATGGAATTAGAACTCTTCAATGATCAGTGTTTAGTACTTCCTAAAATATGGTTTTGTTATTGGTGTCATATTCTTAAAACAATGCGCTTACCCCGGCAATTTGATTATATATTATATTTTCATATTGTTGTAAATGCCGACATAAGTTGGATTCTCGGGGCATGCGTCAGAAAAGTGTGAGATACATTCTTCAAACTTCTTCCATTCCCTGTAAATATAGTTTTCTAGACTGAAAGATTCCCAAACGGAAGAAATACACAGCTGCAGTTAATATTATACAATTATTGCTGTTTTTGATGCCAATACGATGATTTAGCCATCTGAGGAGTATAATATTTACCGAGCCCGAAGGGCGAGGTGAATATTGTACTTCGAAGGTGGCTAAATTATCGTATTGACTGAAAGAAACAGCTGCAATAATTGTTTTATTATATGATTCAATGATTAAATGATAGAAACTCAGTAAGCAGTTCATGTCATCTTATTTGTTTACATTTGCTGAAGTCCTAGCCAAATGCAATGAGACTGAAAAGCAGGGTTGAATAAACATAACTGTCATATTACATTTGTTGCTATGAAAAAAAAGTTAATGTTAAGCTCTTTTATAGGATTAATTGTAAAAGGAGGAGCATTATCAGGGAAAAAATGACAGCTGAAAAAAAAAAATTGATTAGCCCCAACGAAATGAAAACTCTCTTAACTTCATATTTTGTATTGGGATAGGGGATTAGGGTCCATTAGTGGGAGACCATGCTTTCAATGAATATTTTTAGTCTAAATCAAAATATTACAAGTAAAAATTTACGTTCAGAAAAATCGTTTTTGGGTGGGTGGTTGGGTGGGTCACACCACCACCACCACCCTAAAGTATATATTCCCTAATGTTTTGTATACCTGAGTGGAATAGCTTTCCAAAACTATTTGTATCAATTTAGAATTTCCCGATCTATTTTTAGACCAATGTGGAGAAATAAA